ACAATATTTTTGCAATTCTCCAACAACAAAAAAAACACAGTTTTCATCTAGTGTAATTTCGCTTTTGTCTAGGATGAAATTAATATCTTTTTTAACGTTTTCAAAAAGTTTTAAAATTCGACCTTTGACTTCTGTTGGATTTTCATCAACACCGGCTCTAAAAGTAACATCATCTTCTTGTTTAGTAAATTTTTCGTCAAAGATTTTGCAAAAAATTAGGTTTATTAATTGGTTTGTTAAAGCTTCATCTCGTGTAGCTCCTACACTATTAGCGGCTAAATGATTTTTAATTGCTTTGAAAGTTGCTTTGAGATTGTGAGTAGACTTAAGATCTTTTCTTCTAAATTTTCCAACATCTTCAATTCTTTGTCCAAATTGTGGAATATTTGGAATTTCTTCAAATTCAACTCTACCACTTCTTTCAATTTTCTTTAAAAATATTCTTTCATTTCCATTAAACCACACTCCCAAAACTGCTTTGGAAAATGTTAAATAATTTTGAAGTTGCGTTTTTCCATCTTTTCTGTTTTTCTTTTTGCATTCAACTATAATATAAACATCGTCTTCTTGTTTTTTGTTGTTTGAAAACACTGCTATATCGACAGGATATTCCTTTTTTTCATCAGATGGAATTCTTTTTACTCTAAATTGTGGTCTTGTTTGTATGTGATCTTTTGGATAGTCATAATCTTCAACCAATTGTTTAGAAAATACTTGAACGGCTTCGATTTCTTCTGCTGTAGCTTTTACATTTGACCCCGAAATATAATCAATTATATATCCTTCCTTTAATGTTTCTGCTTTGCCCACCATAATAAATATTTTACTTGCTTTTCAATTGCGGAAAAGCAATCACTTCCTTAATACTATTTTGACCGGTAAATAACATTACTAATCTATCTATCCCAATTCCTAACCCTCCGGCAGGCGGCATGCCGTATTCTAATGCTTCAACAAATTCTTTATCGAAACTAGCAATTTCTTCATTCCCTAATTCTTTTTGCTTAGTCTGTTCTTCAAATCTTTTTTTTTGTTCAATGGGGTCATTTAATTCGCTATATCCATTAGCGAATTCTAACCCACCGATATATAATTCAAATCTATCAGCAATATTTTGGTTATCATTTTTACTTTTGGCTAGTGGGGAAACTTCAATTGGATAATCATAGACAAAAGTAGGTTGAATTAGTTTTTTTTCCACAAATTCTTCAAAAAAGGCTAAAATAACATGCCCAATAGTTTTTTGAAAATTTTCTAACTTTAAGTTGTGTTTTTGAGCCAATTCTAAGGCTTTTTCTAAATTGTTTGTTTTCTCAAAATCTATTCCTGTATATTCCCTAACTGCTTCTTTCATGGAAATCTTGCGAAAAGATTTTTTAAGATTGATAACATGAGAATTAAATTCAATTTCCTCTTTTTTAAGGACTTGTTGGGATAAGTGGTGAAATATTTTTTCTGTCAAGTCCATCATGTATTCAGCATTTTCGTAAGCCTGGTAAATTTCAATAGTGGTGAACTCGGGATTATGCCGAGCATCTATTCCCTCATTGCGAAATATCCGACCAATTTCATAAACTTTCTCAAACCCTCCCACGAGCAGTTTTTTCAAAGGGATTTCGGTAGCAATTCGCAAATAAAAGTCCCTTTGCAGTTTATTGTGGTGAGTAATGAAAGGCTTGGCCTGAGCTCCGGAGGCTTCGGAAACTAAAATGGGAGTCTCTATTTCAACAAAATTTTTTTGGTCCAAAAACTGACGAATATTTTGGACTATTTTATGACGAACAAGCAAAATTTCTCTTTTTTCATAATTAATAATAAAATCTAAATAGCGTTTACGAAATCTTTCTTCGAGGTCATGAAAACCGTAATGAGTATCAGGAAGTGGTCTTAAACACTTACTTAATAAAATAAATTCTTGAACTTCTACACTTAATTCTCCTTTATCAGTTTTACAAATATTTCCTTTTGCCCCAACAATATCACCGATATCTAATTCGGCAAATTCTTTATTTTTGCTAACTTTTAACTGAATAATACCCGTCTGGTCGGTCAAATTAGCAAAAAGGAGATTTCCGAAATTTCGTATCCGCATTATCCGCCCGGCTAGGCTCACTTTTTCTAATCTTTCTTCTAACTCTGCTTGGGAATAGTTACCAAATTGGTTTGTAATCTCAGCACAATTAGTATTTCGCGAAAATTTATTTTGTTGAAAAGGATTTTTAACCATTTCCGCCAGTTTTTTTTTTCTTTCCTGTTCTAACGTCATTTAATAATTTATTATAAATTCAGGGTTAAATGTCAGTAATTTTTACTAAAAAATCCTACTAAATTACAAGATTGAAATAGAACACTGATTTTTTTTTGATATTGCAATATATTATTCATGTCTGCTTTGTAGTTCATCTTTTAACTCTTGCTCAGTGAATTTCGATAACCAATATTGCCTTTTCTCTTTATCTTCTAGTTCATCCATACATTTTTTACTACAATAGGCTCTTTGCTCACCACTTTCGTAAGTTTCTGTTTCTTCGCAAATTAAGCAGTATCCGTTTTTGTGAGTTTTACATACTGACAAGCCAAAAATTCCTCGCTTTTCTCAATTCTTGTCTTCGTATTGATGGCACTCAATGTGTCCCTCTTCTACTTCTCAATTGATTAAACCTTGGCAATTAGCACAATTTTTGTGTTTTTCTTGCTCTTTTCTTGTTGGTCATTCTATTTCTTCCTTACTATCATTCTCTAATCTTTTTTCCTCAATTTTTCAAAGTTTTTGGCAGTTATCACATGCTTTCTTGTTTAGTCCAATTTGCTTTCAATAGAAAAAAATACAACCTCTCTCACACGTACTATCATAAATCTTTCCTTTTTGGAAAAGTTTAAAAGTTTTGTTGACTATTTCACAACATCAATTATTTAATTCTACCATTATATTGTATATAATCTTAATTTATCCTTAAAATACTACCAGGTGAAAGTTTTTGGTTTTTAGATACTATAAAAAAGTAATGTTTGCTTATTGATTTTAATTTGAGATTTGATAAAAGAAAAAAAAGGGAGATAAATTAAAATTCTGACTTTGTGATATTTTACTTTTTGACTTTATTTTTCAACAAAATCTAAATACTTGACTAGCCAACTTCTCGACCAATCTTTCTTTAAGACTGAAATAACAGAAGGTGAAAAATTGTACTTTTAAATTGCACTTTTTTAAGAAATCTATAAAAATAACCTTATATAAGACCTAAATGTCGAAACTAACTAATCGGGTTATTGTAATACCGCCAGCAGTGAAAATTGTTATTACTAAGGAAAAAGTTCAGGCTCAGGGTCCGCAAGGAACTAATGAATTAAACATTAATCCAGTAGTAGAAATTATTCATAATGATAACAAAATTACCACTCAGTCGCCTAACTTGGACTTGGCAGGCACTTTTAACTCTTTAATTTACAATTTAATTGAGGGAGTTAACAAAGGCTATAAGAAAATCCTAAAAGTAGCTGGGGTAGGTTACAAAGTGGCTTTAAAAGAGAAAAAACTGGAATTTTCACTAGGTAAATCACATTTAGATTACCTAGATATTCCGGATGACCTAGAAGTGCAGTTAAAAGGAAACGAAATAACAATTAGCGGAGTAGATAAAAGTAAGGTCGGTGGGTTGGCAGCTAATATTAAAAAACTTCGTTTACCGAGCATTTACAAAAAAAGCAAAGGTATTTATTACCAAGGAGAAGAGGAAACTATTAAGTTAAGACCAGGTAAAACTCTAAAAAAATAGGTATGTAGGTCCTGTTAGCTCAGTTGGTTAGAGCATCTGCCTTTTAAGCAGGGGGTCGGAGGTTCGAGTCCTCCACAGGACACCAAAAATTAAAAATATATATATTTTTCTCACTCATGAATAATCACCAAAATCCACCAAAAGAAGAAAAAAAAGGAAAAATAACTATCCGAGAATTTTCCTTTTTTTTTGCTATGTTAAACATTTTCGTTGTTGCGACCGCAATTTGCTTAATCATTATAAAAAGCAGAAATGAAAAAGCTATCCAAGAAAACGAAAAAGTTGAACAAGAAACTAGAGAAGAAACTTTGGAATTAGTAAAAGAAAAAGCAGCGGTTTTAGAATTTTTTTTCAGAGATGATCTTAATATGAATGTGAAAACACGTGTCAAGGTTTTAGAAAAGGTGAAAGAAGGTTTTACCGGAATCGGAGAAGGTAATGTTAAAAAGACTGTTTTTAAAACAAGAAAAGAAAGATTTAAAAAAATGAAGAAAAATTTAGAAGAAAATTTAACAGAGGAAGAAGAGTTGAATTCTTATTTAGTTGGTGAAGTAGAAAGTATTGTCGTGGAAAAAGATTATTTTGTTGAAAATCAACTAGGAAAATTAGGAGAACTTTTTGGAGTTGAAGTTGAAGAGAAAAAGGAAAAAAAACCAGAAAAAGATAAAGATAATGAAAACTTGGCAAGATTAAAAGCTTCTTGCATCAAAGAAATTGAAAAAGCTTGACAAGAAATAGGGGGTGGAGAAAATGGAACCGGAGAAGTTAACGGAAAAAGTTTAAACCAGTTTTTAGAAACTGGGGATAGAGATTTTAGAGATGTTATTGATACTAGCAGAACAGAACGAGGAGTTTCACAGACGAAAGAAGAGATTTTAGAAAAAATTAGTCGACTAAAACAAGAACAAGAGGAAAGCACCAAAACTTCCGAAATTACTCCGTCTGAAACAGAAAACGGACTGGACAAGTTTTTTAGGTTTTTTTCTGAGTTGGATAGGAGAGAGGACGAAGATTTTGTTTCCTGAATGATAGAAATAAAGAGTAGAGAAATAGAAAACTTTAATGACCCAGTGTGAGTGAAGCAGAGAATTGACAGTGGAGAATTAAATTTAAACGAACTAAAACAAGAATTCCAAAGGCAAGAACGAGAACAAAAAGAGCAGCAAGAGCAAGTTGAAGAGAAAAGCACCGAAATTACTCCGTCTGAAACAGAAAAAGGGGAACAAGTTTAAAAGAAGGAAGAAATCGGAGAAGTCCGTGATTTTTACATTTCAAAAATTAGAGAACTTGTAACACCAATCTTAATGGAAGGTCGTGGCGTTGAAATTGATGGTATTGCTTTGAGTGATCTTTTTCAAGAATGATTAAGAGAATTAAATAGAAGTAAAGATATTGAGAGTATTAGAATTTATGGTGAGGAGAAGATTGAAACTATTGGTGAAGTAAACTCTCAGTAAACTCTCTATTAACGGAGTAAAATTCCTAAAAAAATCTCTGAAAAGTTAAAAAAAGAAATTTCTGTGGTCGGGAAAAAAATGAATTTAGAGATTTTGCGAGGAAAAGAAAACAACAACCGCAACTCCGATAAGAATTTTTGTGATAAATACGAGCAAATAATTTTCTAGTTAAAAAAAGGAAGAAATTATTGAACGTTTACTAAAAACTTTTTAAAATAGGCGGGATTGGTGCAATTGGTAGACACACTAGATTTAGGATCTAGCCAGTGAGGGTTCGACTCCCTTATCCCGTACCAAATATATATATGCCTTTAATACCCTGAGAGTATTTAGAAAAATGTCTAGTTAATTTATCTCTCGGTCCCGCAGAGATAGCAACCCAATTAACTGCTGGGGGTCTAGAAACTGATTTAAAAGTTCAAGAGTCAGATATCTATTTTGATTTTACCATTTTAACTAACCGCCCTGATTTATTAAGTTGATGGGGAATTATTCGCGAAATAGGTGTTTTGCTGAATTGTCAAACTAAACTTCCTGCTCTTTCGTCTCCTCTGTTAGCAAAAAAAAGTTCACTAAGTCTAGCAATTGCTACTAATAATTGTTCGGAGTATCATTTGGGATTGATTAAAAATGTTAAGGTGAGTGAAAGTTCGCCAGTCGTAAAAAAATGATTGCGGGCTAATAAAATTCGTTCTTTTAACAATTGAGTAGACTTGGCTAACTTGCTAAGGTTGGAAACCGGTCAGTCTCTATTATTGCTTGATTATGATACCCTACCAGTTAAGTCGTCGATTAAAATAAGGTCAGCCCGCTTGAAAGAACGAATAACTATTTACGAAGAACAAAAATTGAATTTGCTTCCGGCAGATGTGGTGATTACTGCTAACGAAAAAATTATCGGTTTAGCAGGGATTGGTGGCGGAAAAAAGAACGAAGTAACTTGGCAAACCAAAAATATACTTATCGGAAATGGGAGTTTTAATTCTCAAAGCATCCAAACTACCACAACTCGGTTAAGTGTTTTAAAAATATCCAACCACCTTTTTTCCCCAAAAATTAACTTTTCTATCCAACCACTTTCTATTCTTAACTACTTTGTTTCTCTGGCTAACCAAATGTTAAGAGGCGGAAAAGAAGAAACCGAAATTATTTCAGTTCTTAACCAAGGAAAAGCAAAAAAACCTCTTCTAACTATTAGTGAAAAGTTGGTGGCGAAAAAAGTAGGTCTAGTTATCCCCGCCTTCCAACTAGAAGAAATTTGAAGAAAATTAGACTTTTCCTTTCGAAAAAAAGGTTCAATTTATTACTTAAAACCTCCTCAAAACCGCCCCGATATCACTGGACCAGAGGACTTGTGTGAAGAAATATTGCGTATTTATGGCTATAACAAAATACCTAATTCATTGCCGAGATGGCAAGAAATTAACCCCTCTAACCACCAAGAAAATAATTTCTGAACTCAAAAACAAAAAATTCGTAATTGGCTAGTTAATCGTGGCTGACAAGAAATTATTACCTATTCACTGGTGGCTGAAAAATCTAAAATTCCTTTCGCTTCTGCTAATGAAGAAAACTTTTATCAGTTACTGGCTCCCAAAAATCAAAATCACCTCTATTACCGGCACACTTTAATCCCTAGTCATTGTCAAATCATTAATTACAACTGCACTCATGGTCTTTGCGATTTATTATTTTTTGAAGTTAGTTCGATTTATGTTCCTAAGTCAGCAGGAGAAATTCAGCAAGAAGAGTTGTTGGCTTTAAGTGCGACTGGCAAGATATTTAACCAGCCCGTTCATCATTTCGTTCAGGAACTCGACTTTTTTTGACTGAAAGGTATTTTAGAAACTATTTTCGCTCTCTATTCTCTTAACGAGGAAATTACTTTTAACCCTCTCTGCTCTAATGAAAAAGAGATGAGAACCGAAATATCTCTAAACCAAGAAAAAATTGGTTTCTTAGGATGACAAAAAGACAATACTAACAAAGACCCAATATTTTTTGCCGAAATTTCTTTAACTAAAATTTTTAATTTTCTCGCCCAAAAATCACTTTTACAATCTTATCACCCCGTCTCTAATTTTCCCACTAGTGAAAAAGATTTGTCATTAATATTAGCAGACAATATCGATTACAGTCAAGTTGTTAAAGAAATAAAAAGAGTAGGCGGAGATGAATTAAAAGAGGTAAGTATTTTTGATGTTTACCAAAACACCGAGTTAGCCCAACGAGGACAAAAATCGGTAAGTTTTCATTTAATTTTTCAGAGTGCGGAAAAAACTCTATCTAAGGAGCAAGTAGAAAAAAAATTAGAAAAAATTAGCACTCACTTAATCAAAACGTTTCAAGCAGAAGTCAGAAAATAACTGTCTTTCTCTAATTTTCCGCTAGTTTTTTCCATACTTGTTCGAGTTTATATTTCAATTCGGGTTCACTTTTTCAAATAAAACCTTTGCTTTTCTTGTATTTTGGAATGATATGGATATGTAAGTGAAAAATGCTTTGGGCAGCAATTTCATTCATATTAGTTATGATATTAAAACCGGCTGGTTGAAAAACTTTTTTTAGCTTGCTAATGGTTGATTTTATTAAAGGTAAGAAATATTTTCAACTTTCCTCATCTACCTCGGAAACGTTGGCAAAATGATTTTTAGAAATAAGCAAAGTATGTCCGTCACTGGCTGGATAAACATCCAAAATAGCCAAAACTTTTTCGTTTTCAGCAATAACATAAGCATTTTTTCTTCCTTTAACAATTTCACAAAAAATACATTCCATAATTTCAAAGAAAGTTTTAAGTATTAATCGA